TTAAGGGTATCAAAAGGAACACCCTCTATGTTTTTGAGGGTGTTACACTGCCTAGTTCTGCGGTTTGCGCATCTGTATCTCACCAGGAGATGACTAAGATTTGGCACATGAGGCTTGGTCATATGGGGGAGAAGGGGATGCAGCTATTGTCCAAGAGGGGTCTTCTATCCGGGGTCAAGGTTGCCAACCTTGAATTTTGTGAGCATTGTGTGTTTGGTAAGAAACACAGGTCAAAGTTCAGCAAGGGTGCTCACATTACTGATGCAGTGCTCGATTACATCCATTCAGATTGCTGGGGTCCATCTAGAGTTGAAGGTATGGGAGGTTACCACTATTTTGTGTCATTTGTTTGATGACAAGTCCCGATACACATGGCTTAGGTTGCTTAAGTCAAAGGATGAGGCCTTCAAAGTTTTCAAGCAATGGAAAGCTTTGGTGGAAAATCGACAAGGAAGGAAGATCAAGAAGCTACGAACGGACAATGGGCTAGAGTTTTGCAAAGACGAGTTTAATCAGTTCTGTGCAGATGAGGGTATAGGTCGGCATCATACTGTCAGGAAGACACCACAGCAGAACGGTGTAGCAGAACGGGTTAATCAGACACTGCTAGAGAGAGTCCGATGCATGCTCTCTAATGCAGGGCTTGGGAGGAGGTACTGGAGTGAAGCTGTGTTAACAGCTTGTTATGTCATTAATAGGGGTCCTCATTCTGGAATTGATTCCAAGATTCCGTTTGAGATCTGGAGTGGTAAGTTGCCTAATTTTTCGAATTTGAAGATTTTTGGTTGTGTTGCTTATTATCATGTTATTGAGGGTAAGCTGGATCCACGAGCCAAGAAGGGGTGTTTTGTTGGGTACGGGGATGGTGTGAAGGGGTTTAGAATTTTTTCACCTTCGGAGGGTCGGGTCATTCTTAGTAGGGATGTTACTTTCGATGAAAACACCATGTATTCAATTAAAAATGCAGAGATTTCAGATTTGAGAAGGGAAGGAGACAATTTATTACAGACAGATGGGGTACTTGAGGTACATCAGTCTACCATTGCTGATTTACCTCGGGTACAATATATTGATGATGATGCTGATGTTCCAGTGCCGGGTACTCCTGAACCTGAGATTACTCCTACTCATTCTAACTCTGGGGATGAGGTGGAGCAATCTAATCAGGGGTCATCTAGTCAACCTGACACCATTCTTGAGATGCCTAAACGAGTTATCAAGAAGCCTGTTAGATTGATTGAAGAGATGGAGGGAAGAAATTGCTGTGTTGATGCGATGACAGGTTATGCATTGAGTGTAGCTGATGATGTAGAGTCATTTGAACCTGCCACATATAAACAAGCAATTAGTTGTAGTGAGTCTGCGCAATGGCTTGCCGCAATGGGTGAAGAGATGCAGTCTCTTTACAAGAACAGAGTGTGGGAACTGGTAAAGGTACCGGAAGGGAGGAAGCTTGTGGGTTGTAAATGGATTTACAAGAAGAAAGAAGGGTTGTCGGAAACTGAGCAAATACGTTTTAAGGCTAGGCTAGTTGCTAAGGGGTTCAGTCAGGTAGAAGGGGTTGACTTTGTTGAGATATTCTCACCTGTGATTCGACATACTTCTATCCGTGTGTTATTGTCAATTGTAGCACATTTTGATCTTGAGCTGGAGCAGTTGGATGTTAAAACGGCTTTCCTTCATGGCGATTTGGAGGAGGAGATTCTGATGAAGCAGCCCGAAGGATTCGAAGTTCCTGGAAAGGAACACTATGCCTGCAGATTGCTAAAGTCATTGTATGGACTTAAGCAATCCCCCCGACAGTGGTACAAAAGGTTTGATTCTTTTATGGTTTCACAAGGTTTTGACAGGAATTCATATGATTGCTGTGTGTATCATAGTAAGCTGGATAATGGTTCCATGATTTATCTTTTGTTATATGTTGATGACATGTTGGTTGCCACAAAGAATAAATCTGATATTGCTAGATTAAAGGAGATGCTTAACTCGGAGTTTGACATGAAAGACTTGGGTGCAGCTAGGAAGATTTTGGGTATGGAGATCTACAGGGATCGGGCTAGAGGTAAGCTTTTCTTGACTCAGAAAAGCTACATTGAAAAGATTTTGTCTCGTTTTGGGATGGAAAAATCGAAGCCTATAAGTACGCCAACTACTGTTAGTTGTAAGTTGTCTTTGTCTATGTCACCTCAATCAGAGGAGGAGTTGTCTTATATGTCTAGAGTTCCATATGCAAACGCGGTTGGTTGTTTGATGTATGCTATGGTCTGTACTAGGCCGGATATTGCGCATGCTGTTAGTGTTGTAAGCAGGTTTATGGCTCGACCTGGGAGGGAACACTGGCAAGGGGTGAAAAGGATTTTTCGCTACCTGAGAGGGACAGCTGATATTGGTCTTGTGTACGGGAATGGTAAGGAATGCTTGGTCACTGGGTACAGTGATTCTGATTATGCAGCTGATGTGGATACCAGGAGGTCTGTGACTGGTTATGTGTTCACTTTGGGTGGTTCTGTGGTTAGTTGGAAGTCTACATTGCAGTCATCAGTTACGTTGTCAACTACTGAAGCTGAGTATATGGCTCTAACTTCTGCAGCTAAGGAGTCTATTTGGCTCAAAGGCCTAGTAGGTGAACTGGGTATTGCACAGGATTTTGCTACAGTGTATTGTGATAGTCTAAGTGCGATTTGCTTAGCTAAAGATCAAGTACACCATGATCGGACGAAGCACATTGATGTCAGGTATCATTTCTTACGTACTGACAAGAGGATTAAGGTGAAGAAGATTGGGACTGCTGACAACCCGGCTGATTTCTTCACTAAGCCTGTTCCGTTTAGCAAGTTTAAACATTGCTTAGACTTGCTAAATATTGATTACTACGTGATGTAGTAGGCCCTGAGGGGCGAAGTTGGGGAGCTCCTGGTGTAGGTGTGTTGGCCTTAAGGTGGAGCTTGCCCGGGGCTTGTGATGCAGGTGGAGCATTATGAGTTGTTATACTTGGAGACGAGTATGTGATGGGTCTTGGTTGAAGACTTATCGGGATGTATGGCTTATGCATGAGTCCTGCATCGGGTTTGGCTTGAGATGTTTTTTCACTATGTCTTGATGGGGTTGTTTGCTGACTACGAGTTCTCGTCAAGGTGGAGATTGTTGATAAGTATATTAGGTGACTCGTACTTCGTAGCTTTGTCCGCCGATCGGGCGGACATTGCCCGGTCTGACCGGGCGGAAGAAGAAGAGGTGCCTGGCAAATTCGTTGAAGAAGCTGCTCTCGCGCCCGACCGGGCGAGCCTTCGCCCGACCGGGCGAGCCTTCGCCCGATCGGGCAGACCTTGCCCGGTCTGACCGGGCGGTGGGGGTTGGATACGTTGAAGCATTCGTATGGAGTTTTCTTCTCGCGCCCGATCGGGCAGACCTTGCCCGGTCTGACCGGGCGGAGAAGGAAAAATACGGAACGCGGATTTTGCGGTTTTAGGTTATCTTATTTTATTATCTTTTTGCCCAAGTATCTTTTAATTAGGGATTAATATAAAACCTCCCTAATATCAGTATTAGGGTTAAGAGAGACAGAGTGAGAGCCGTTCTTGAGAAATACAAGAATCATCTTTGTAATCTTTGCAGTTTATAGTGAAATCATTCGATCTCGGTGCCCGTGGACGTAGCTATCACATCGATAGTGAACCACGTAAATTCTTGGTGTTGTTCTTATTGTTTGCATTGAATTTCTTTATTGTTTTCTTGTTTGTTTTCGACCTTTGCTTCCGCTGTCGCACAACAATAATTACTTTCATTTCTATTATTGAGAGGAATAATGTTAGGTGTTTTAAGGTTTACTTTATAAGAATAATTGGTTTTCTTTGCTGAAAATTATATTTAATGGTATATATAAAAAAAAAAAAAAAAAGTGCACTAAAATCAAATTAAAGCTAAGCTTCTTGTAAGATGAGAATAATTTCTGAAGGAATATTGCCAAGAAAGTTACAAGCCCATGCTTCACTTTGAATATTTGCTTTTGTAAAAGTTTTAAAATGAATTGCTTTATCTTGTTTTGCATTACAACTTACTTCTAGAAAATATAGATAGATAAAACTGTTCCCATTTGATTCCAAAAATTTTCTACTTCGTATAGTATTAAATTGAAAATTTCTGTACTAAAAACCTAAAACATGTATACTGGCATAGTAATTGAATATGATCTGGATGAAATTGATCACACTCGCCTTTCATACATGTTTAATACGAAATAATTAAATATAGCTTATATTGACTTAAAACAATCTTATAATACACATACTCCGTATATAGAAGCCTTAAATATTGTCCGACCTGATCTGACTTGACAGAAACACAATCCATTTTTTGACTTGTACAATCATAATAATTTAACATGAGTAAAAGTTGAACTAAACTCGACCCGACTTTTACATGTCTAGATTTATGGATGTACTTGTATTTATTTTTGTTGCATGCGTAACAGAGTAAGGTCAGAAGAGGGAGAAGGCTCAAATAGCTGGTTAGATTTAGAATAGTTAGATTATAGACATTTCCCAAAGGAGCACGCATTCTTCACAGTGTTGTGCATAATGTGATGTAATGAGGGACCGATTATAGAAAGAGTTGGAAGATAGAGACAATCAATATATGCTAATTCATTTTTCCCCAAGTCATTATCTAATAAAGTCGGATTAAAAGAAGTGAGAAGTGAAACTGAAGATCACTATATTATGCCTTTCAAGATTGAATAATTTTCTATCTTTCACGTGTTAAACAAACTAGCTAAATAAATTCCTTGGACAACGCTTGAGATCGATTATATACTCTTATACATTTATGGTAAGATCGAGTGCATCAGGACATGCATTTTCAGTCCCATAATTGTATAATTGAAGGTTTACAAAATTTCATAATTGTTAGGCTATGTTCCTACAGTTCAACTAATTTAAGTTGATACTTTGTATATTTTGATCAAATTTGAAAATCAGATCAATAAAATTCAACTTAATATGAACTAAACACAGCCTTACTCTTACTCTGAAATTTTTTATATACACAAGTAAAACACACTCGTACTTAAGCATTTTACAGTATTTGTTACACAACCAACTTCAAACCGCAGCACAAGAGAACTCTTTACAAATACAGTAGTTGCACTTGTTAGTTGTTACTCCAACCTTTTAGGTCTCGTACCACAATAACAAGACATGACAAAAAAAAAGACCAAGTTAGAAAACAAATCAAAAGGATAAAAAAAAATTCAAATACTCGTACTTGTATTTTCTCCCATTTTATTAACAAAGATAAATATAAGTATATAACAAACCAAAAAAAGGGTAAAAAAATATAAATCCAAAAATAGAAGCAAATTAGTTACCTGTCTTTTACTCCATTCCATGTGGGATATCTTCACATCCCTAATCTCTATTTCTTTACCCTCCCTTTCTAATACCTAATCACATGCTATATAATTTAATTTTAACCACCATATCACACCAGCTAAATTTAATAAAAAAATAAATTAAAAATCTAATTAGAAGAAATATCAAGCAACTCAATCAACTAATCATAAAAAATAAAATTAAAAAATTAAAGATTGAAATTTATTTCTTCTTGCTTCTATCTTTGCCAGTAGAAAAAATAGAGCCCAACCCAAAAACTTTGCCAGTTGGAACATTAAGAACAGGGCTTACATGAATTACACCAGAATTAAACGAAGACCCACCAAAATTCTTCTTCAATGGAGGTTTTTGATGATTACTGGAGCTTGAATTCTTCAAATAACACTGTTTTTCTTCTTTCGAAATCAATGATCTTTTAGCACTTGTTGAAGACCCAGTTGATTTACTTCTTGATAAAAGAGGTAAAGGACATAATCCTCTTTTATAAATACTCCCACAATTCAAACTTTTGCTTCTTTTGAATGTCCAAAATGTTGATTTGCCAGAATTGTTGTTGTTGCTCTGTTTTTCCTCTGTTTCCTTTTCGCTTTCGCCGCCGTTGTTTAAAACAGAGGACGGCGGCAATGGTGGCAAGAATGCTGAATACAACGATGAAGATGATGAAGAAGAAGATGGAGAGAATGATTTTGATTTTAAAATTGTGGGTATATTTTTTTTCTTGATTTGAATTGGAAGAATTATCCCATTTGCAAATAATTCATCGGCTAATGTAGGTTCTTGATCAGAGCTTTTTCGAGTGACACAAAAGTCGAAATCGTAATCAAGAAGAGATGATTTTAAGGGTTCAATTGGAACAATTTCTGAGTTTTTAAGATCATGAGAGAATGAAATTCTAGGACTCATTTCTCTACTTGAAGGACTTTCTGTATATAATTCAACCGCCATTTTTAAATTTTTGTTTTTGGTGATGATGAAAAACAGGGGATGATGTAAAGAATGAGGTTTTTTTATGGCTGAAAAATGGAGTTTTTTGGTATTTGAATTTTTCTGAGTTTTTGAATTGTATTGGAAAATGAATTGTATTGGAAAATGTGTTAGTTGGGAAGCAAGAAGATTGGCTATTACCAAGAGTCTAAGGAAGACTTGGACTTTGTAAAATAAATGAGACTTGGAATTTTTTTATAGGAGAAGTTAATGACCAGCACGAATAAAGAGAGAGAAAGTGTTAAAAGGAGTTGGTGAATTGAAGATGATTATTGGCTAATAATTTCATTTTGGTATGAGTAAGGTTTGATTATAGGTGTAGCAAGTGGGGCATACTAGTAAATTTGTTTGTGATATAGAGGTAATTTGCTTAAAGTTTTATCACTTTGGCGAAACTTGATCTAATTTAATGAATATAAATTCTTGTAAAAGGCGGGCTGATAAGATTTTATTTGTCGTACTATGTAATTATAAATTTAACAAAAAAATAAAAATAAAAATCATGATTCTAAAATGCTAAATGTGTTAAAGGACCATATCATCTCAACCAAAATGTTAAGTTGATGGTTGAAGTTCGGGGATATGTTAAGCTGGTGGTCAAGCCTAGGGTTATGTTTTATACTCTATCAAAATGGTCTAACCAAATATTATACTCCGTAGTTAGAATGTTTGATAGAGCACTTATTCTTTAATAAAAGGAAAATTTGTTAATTGCTGCCGTTTAAAGTTTGTATTTTATAAATTACAGCCATTTAAAAAAAAATTACAAATTGCAGCCCAAAAGTACTAATAAATTGTAAATTGCAACTCAATTCAATTTTTCATCGATTTGCGTGTCGAAAAAATATTCCATTAACGTAAGTGCCTCGTTTTGCGTATCAAGAATGTATCAATTTGTATGCAACTATTTTTTTCCGTGAAAACGAGGCCCTTATGATAATCTTTTGTCAATTTCGAGCTCATTTTGGACCCATAAGAGTTAAAATGACCCCTAAAACCTTAATGAAATAGTTTTTAACACGCAAATCGATGAAATAAATGAATTAGGTTGCAATTTATAATTTATTAGTACTTTTGGACTGTAATTTGCAAAAAAAAAAAAAATAGCTGTAATTTGCAAAATACAAACTTTAAATGACTGTAATTAACAAATTTTCCTTAATAACATGTCCGCTCTATCTTTTCTTAAAATAATTTTTTTAAAAAAAATTGAAACAAGTAGGGATGAGTTTTACACAAATGGGCCATGCATAGTGATTTGCGAAAAATGATATTTATATTAAGTACAACAACTTACAAACAATTTCAATCAAAATCTCGATCCCTTAATCCAACATATAAATACAAGTTGATTTCTCTAACTCATTTACTAATCTAGTTGAGAGGTGAGCTCCAAGACTTTTTTGGCTGTTTTATGTTGTCAACAACTTGATCATTAATGCACTTTACGTGTATTTAAAGTATAATGATTTGTTTAAGTAACGTACACTTTGACCTCTTTTTTCTTCAACTTATTTAGAGAAATTGCAGGAAACATTAGTTTACAATAATCATTAAAAACAAATATAATATTCCCTCCGTCTCTTATTGATAGTTCTTTATGGTCAATTTTAAGTCCCAAAATGATAGTCTCATTTGCTTTTTTCAAGTACCATTAATATTAATTTTTTACCAAAATTCCCTCCAATTTGCAACAACATTTGTGCAAATTTAACTTTCATGTAAATTTTGTTTTTCTATGTACTTTTATTACTTTCTCTCTCCACTTTTTTGCATACCTAGTGTAAATTTATCTTTCCAATGTACTTAAACTACTTATTTATGTTTATTAATTCCCGTGAAAATTGCTCATAAGGGACTATCATTAAGCTAAGGAACGAAGGGAATAGATAGTTAGTAAAAATAAATTTTAATAAAAAATAATAATTTTAGGTCAGAAAATTTAAGCTAAAGAGAAAACAATGTTCACCTCTAGAATTAGCCCAAATAAATTAGTTTGGAAAGGTAAATGAAAAAGGGAATTGAATATCAAACCTAATACAAGTAATCGCATGACAAATTCTTAAATGTCTTTAAAGCACCAATTGGTACATCAGTCTGATAATTACACTTATTTCAGTAATTTATTCTCCCCGATTTTAAAAGTATAAAATCAAACTTGAAGCAACTAATAAGAGGAGCGCATATACATTAGTCCACTATAAATGAAGACTTGAAATGAATGTGATGTCGGTGAATCTTTCATCATTTTACCGTCAAAAACATAAATGTGAAGGCTTGACTAATATCCTGCCTTCTACGCTACTAAAGTACTAAGCTGCCATATCTTCGTGTATGAATTATGAACATGGAGTTGTGGAGCCATGGAGTTACTAGAAGAATCAATAAAAAGACAAAGAAGATAATTGCACTACTAAATAGTAATTTGACAAAAGAAATCGCTTTCATTTTCAGCTTTTTGTGCGGAAAGAACCCAAAGACAATGATGTAGATATAATTTGTAAATATTTGTGATATTTAATTTCTCAATTAACGAGGTTGCAATTGACGTGTAACGTTAATCAATTAATGAAAAAAGAGCAAATAACTTTTTTTAATATATTGTTTATAGTTCTCTATAGAAAAATATGAGAAAAATATGAGAATTGTGTCTAAATTAGAGTTTATCAATAAGTTGTGCCTAAACAAATCTAGTCCACAATTTCGAGCTTGAGCCGAGGATAGATTAGCTTGAAATATTTAGTATTATATATGGGCCAACCAATCTAATTCAAGCCACAATTAAGTCGAGCCTCTTTTTTTTTTTTTTTTTTTTTTTTTGGCCTATAGCCAGTTTATCAATACACTTCCAAGTATCTTGTGACATATAAATAGCAACAATAATTAGGAGCTCATGATCAACATTTGGCTATGTTTAGGGCAAAATTTTTGGATGTGATATGGCCTAAATCACATGTTGAACATATGATTGAAGTAATGCTGATGATCAAAAAGATAATTTCCAAAGAGAAATAATCTTAGTAATTTTGCTTATTGCTACACAAATATGATCTGTGTAGATACAGATAGTTATTACGGTGTAGATAAAGAATTAAAGATCGACAAATTCTAATACTAATGCAAATAAACTCACATTACATTGTCAAGTTATCATGTCGGATCAACTTTTACCTATTACAATTGAAGTATATTTGCGAAGTGTTATACTTGAGAATCGACCAAACTATATACAAGTCGGACCTGAGTTTGCCTGAATTACCCTACAAAGTGTACCATACATAAAAGAGAGGCAAAACAAGTCCAAATAATACGCTGGCAAAATTGATCGTTGTTGGTTATCTTTGTTTCACTCTTGTTAGGTTGTAGTGTCAAATATAATTGTCAATCTCGACATAAAAGAGGAATCCACCAACTTTTGCAGAGTACAGCCATGAAAGTCCAAATTACTAAAAGCAATTTTTTTTTTTTTTTTTAAATTTAAAAAAATTGGAAAAAAAAAAAGAAAGAAAAAAAGAAAAGGAATGAAAAGGGAAACTTTATTATCCGATTGTTACTCTCTATTTAGCTTTTATATAATTGCCCGAACATGCCTCGTGATGTAGGGCCCAATTTGGATAATGGACTTTTCCTTAAGATCAATGTCCATCTGTTGGCCATTTGGCCCACTTTTTTAATGGCCCATGACTTCGACAAAATGAAATAACCGCATAAAGATTGTTCTATTCATTTCGCAATAATCGCAACAGTAGAGATTGCACATAATTTTAGGAAATGTATAAGGTATGGACTATGGATCATTGGATGAATTTTATAATATAAAATATAATGGATCTTGCTAACGAACGCTTCCGGAGCGTTGGATAAACATTTAAAATATTTCCTAAAGTAGTATTAATTTGGGAATACATGTCAAAATCACGCGTCGATCGGTGTAATTAATGTTCATTTTAATTTAATAAGTCTACTTTTAGTTAGCTTATCCAACGCCCTCGAGGCGTTCATTAGCTTTTGCCAAATATAATTAGTGCTTGTTTAGTTGGAAGATATTTCTCTTAGAAATGAAAATTCCTAAGCAATATATAAAATATATTGTGTTTGGTTCGAAATTTTCTAGGAAATGAAATTTCCAAGGGGAATGTAATGGGAAATACTCATCAAGCCTTCCCTAGTTGAGTGAATTCCTACAGTTTACAATGCATAGGATTTTTTTTTTTTTTTTGTTTTTTTTTTTGTTGTTTAAAGAGCCACAAGGGCGAGTGATGAGAATCGATATTAAGATCACATGAAACTGGGAGGGAGCTCTAACCACTTGAGCTATCTCTCACTCTCAATGCATAGAAAGTTATTTCTTAAAAAATACTAATTTCCATAGTGTCAAACAAACACTTTTGCACAATTTTTATGCAATTAGTAAGGGAAAAAACTTCTCATGGTATATAATTAGTGGAAATAAAATAATAATGGATCCTTATTAAATTAGAAAAAAAATGTTGCAATTATATATTATTAACTCCACTTGAAAGAAGTAGTGTTGCGATTATTCTAAAACGGAGGGAGTATTGTTTAGGTCCATGGAGTATCCCGTGGTTTTGGTGCGTTTCATTGTTACACCACATCTCCGCCACAAACATGTTGGATGTTCGAAGTTCACTTGACTATTGCATGGTTACAACTTTATCAGCATTCATCTTTCGATTTCTATCCTTAATAGAAATACAACATCAAAGATCAAAAACATTGTTTCTGCAATTGTGCTTATTGTTTGTCAATGGCATATTTTCTGACTTCATCTCCCACTTTTCCACTTCCAAACAAGGTAATACTCTAATCTAACTCATAGTAATATTTATGATCATTTTTGTGTTGCGCTAATTGAGTGTATTTTGTGCAAATGTTTATTGCTTTCTTGCGATTCTGAGAAGAATTGATGGATTAAATTCTGGGTTTTTTAAAGTTTCTACTAATTTTTATCTAGTTGCTGAAAATTTATAAGCTTGAAATTATAATTATAAACCCTAATTGATGAATCCAATTGTTCCAGTTATGTATAATTGCTTGGTTGGGGTTAGTGATTGTGATATTCTAATTTCTGGGTTTACTCATGTTTATGAATTTTGTTGCGGAATTATTTGATACTGGGAAGGTTTTTCAGAATGTGATTAATTAAGGTTATTTAGGATTTAATTTCCAGAATCAATGGTTGTAAACTTACCAGTGATAGTTATTTTGGAAAATATACTTAGTGAAACAAACTTTGGCCCAACACCAAACTTTAAACCTTTGCAACTTTAGATAATTAGTAGCACGATGGTCGTTCGAGTTTGGAAAACATCTTAGAAGTCATCCCATATCAATTTACTCCAACTAACACGGCAAATTTCCGGTTTTTCCATGCTATCAAAATTGCCAAGTTTGGATTCCCAAGCTGAATTCGACTAGTGTAGAATGTCATTAATTCATCACAAATGCGCAATGATCTTGAAAATTTCATAACCAAGCAAGGGAAGAGTTAAGAATGATTAATATCGAAATGGTTTCCTGTGATTTCTCCTACTTTTAAATGTACAAATGTTGTCCTTTCGTTCAAGGATTGTAAATGTTTCCGAGAAAAATATTTTCATTTATGGATCTGTCTAATGATGTTTCGGCTTTTCTGAGGAATTAAAACTTCCTCTTAATTTATGTGTTTATTTGCTTATTGTCGATTATCTCCATATCAGATTATATATCACGGTGAGAAAATTCCACTCACTACCTTATCTGTATCAACTTCAAGCCCATCTATCTTAAGAAGGGATAGAGGCTACGGGAAATGTTCAGTATCAAGAGCTACTTCAATTGAAAACGATGTTATTCAAAAGGATGCCCATGGGGTTGATGAAAAGGATGGTATGTCTTCCTACTAGCATGCACAGATAGTTGAATATATACAATATAGTCCAGTAGGTGTTGTCAAATATAAGCATGCAGGCACACATGGCTGAAAAAGTGTAGGTTCAAAGTTTATCAGACACTACAATTCAAAATTATGTTCTTTATCCTCTTCCTTCATGATTTTATATTGAAAATGTGTGCTTCTTACAAAGTAAGTATAGAGAATAAAACCATAGGTTTGAATTTTGCGGTTACTTATTCAGTAAAGTTCATGATAGCTCTAGCCTGTTAAACCTCAATATTATGGAATTGTCGAGCTTGATTTTTCTTTGTTATTCTTTTTCCCTTTGGGTGATGAGGAAGCGAATTGGCACTTCCCCATTCTCATTTCTTTCAAAACTTTGTTTGTCTATCAACAAATAATTTCCTTTGCTTCAAACTGTGTCATAAACAGATGAGGCGCTTTGTAAATCAAATCGAATCGCCTCTTGTTTGCTGTAGTATCTTAAACAGTTTTCTTTATTGGTGTTGCCTCATCTGTACTGAGTTGGAGCTATTGATACAGATTTTGGAGTAGTTGGTATGCACCATGTTGGCATTCTTTGTGAAAACCTTGAAAGATCACTTGATTTTTACCAGAACATACTAGGTATGTATATTGCTATGTTTGCAAGGACACATTTTTTTATGTCTCATTTTCATTTCAATGCTTTAATACACCCGTATCTTGGCAGGTCTGGAGATAAATGAGGCAAGGCCACATGACAAGCTTCCCTATAGGGGTGCATGGTTGTGGGTTGGCTCGGAGATGATTCATTTGATGGAGCTTCCAAATCCTGACCCATCAACTGGGAGGCCTGAACATGGTGGTCGTGATCGTCATACTTGTATTGCCATTCGGGATGTGTCTAAGCTTAAGGATATCCTTGACCGAGCAGGTAGATATATATTTTCCCTATCGGTTCAGGAATGAACGGCTTAAATAATATTTTAGAGTTTTAGCCTCTGCCATGATCAAGGGAAATAATTTTACTAATTGTAAGTATTCAATCTGGCAGGTATACCATATACCCTCAGTCGATCTGGAAGACCTGCAATTTTCACTAGAGATCCAGATACCAACGCACTAGAATTCACGCAAGTCTAATTGTGCATTATACTTAATTTTCTGTTTTGATTCCTTGATATATATATAGGTTGTACATAATGTTAAACGAACAGTTCTATTTTGATACCTGGGTTTTCAAGTTTATATACTAATTTGTGCCAGATTACATGGTAATAATCATATGATTTCTTTGCATGAATTTGTATGTAATTTTGCAAGTTTATTATTATTATTATTATTATTTTTTTTTAAAAAAGAAAGAATGAAAGAAAAGGGAAACTTTATTATCCGACTGTTATTCTCTATATAGCTTTATATAATTGCCCGAACATGCCTCATGATGTAGGGCCCAATTAGGGTAATGGACTTCTCCTAAAGACCAATGTCCACCTGTTGGCCATTTGGCCCACTTTCTTAATGGCCCATGATTTCGACAAAATGAAGTACCCACAAGTGTCTATTCGCTCATTTGATCATCTCACCAAAAATCTCCAGTCCCTAATTATTTGCCACATTTTCATTATCTGATAAGAGGGAAAAGTGGTGAGATTCTATGTAGTTTTTGTGAAAGTAAAGTTGCGATCTTCATGGAAGAGTATGAGATTCAAGAAAAACTCAAAATGTTTATACGTTCGAGCACAAGTGTAAAGTTGTTGTCGATAGTGATAGATCTTGCGTTATATCATAATCTTTATCCGATTACTATAAAACAACATCCATATTAGCCTTGTTATTGTTTTGTTTTATAAACCATATAAAGATTATTGTTTAGGTTCTCAAAATAACCTTTTCATTTGTAGGCGTATATTTATATATCCTTTAAGCTCGTGTAATATATAAAATAACAAAAATGATTACAACATGTTATTTTATGATTCATGTAGAGAGAACTTGTGCAATAGCGAGAAATTGGCTAGACTTGAACTTTATTACGAGTATGAGTCACAAGTCTTTACAATACTTGTGGATAACTTTGTGCAATAATAGGCGTGGCCAGCAATATTAAATGGTTGGAGTTGCACTTGATTTACAAATCTAATGTTCTAGTAACAATCATTGTCAAATTTGTTATAATCATCAATCATAATATCATATGCATATCTATGGACACTTTTTTTAGTAGGTGAAACAAGACTCTTATCTTGGGGGCTTGGGGCCTCATTACCTTCATCACCATATCAACATTCTAGGTGCCTCATCAATTCAGAACCTTATAAGCTCCCAAAGACAACTTGAGTGTTTAAGAAAATCCACTTTGATCCTTACCTATCAATATAGCTCATTATAGATAAATTTGCCGTCACTTTGAATACCAACATGAACCTTTTTTGTGACTGATTAATAGACGTTTATGATTCCAAAAAATAAGTTTTATGACTTTTGGATGCATCCTTCATCATTGCTTGATATATGGACATCGAGAATCTCAAAAAAAATGGTTCAATTTCATGAAATAAAATATTTCATTTAGCCTCTGATGAGCATTTTCAAATCCAAGAATATTTTATCGACATGACCAACTCATTCATGTGTTATTATTTATAAAAAAAAAAAAAAAATCAAACTAGGAACGATTAAATTATGAACAAGGGAAATCATGTGAATACATTAATTGAATATCATTTGAAAGAATTGACACTGAATGACATTTTGGAATTTTAAAGCCCAAATTAATACTCGTAAATTCAATGAGTTTCATACAGAAAGAGCCAACTAGGCAACTAGGCTACCTTTCTTGAGAAGTTGGTACCTGACGCGGTTAATAACAGGTCAAATTCAACAACTAAACAAATTCTGTAACTGCAAATTTGATTCATCCACTGTCTTATTTTTTTGTTTCTTCCAGATTAATTAATTAAAAACATTAAATTCAAATTCAAAAAAAATTCTGAAACGTAATTGGCCTTTCTGGGTTTGACCTTTTCCACCAAACACAAAGCAAGAAGAAAGGAAAGTTTAAAGCTTTTTCTTCCTTTTTGCTAATTTTTTTGAAGTTTTAGAGAGATAAAGTTGTAGAGAAAGAAAGATGAATCAACCAAATTGGGAGCTGAAGGGTTGCTGTAATCATGATCAAAGAAATTTTATGATCACCATTGGCATCTTCACAGTTGTTATTCTTGCGGTTTGTTTCTTTTTACTGATGCCCTTTAATTTCTTGATGATTTATGCCCTTTAATTTTCTTCATAATTTTTCATGAAACCCAGAAAATAAAGTTTATAACTTTCCCTTTGATCTATTTTGATTGTACATTTATATGCAACTTTGAATCTTGGGTTTTATCAGTAATGTATTTTCTGGGTTTTTATGGGTTAACAGGATCCTAATTTTACTAGTTATCCACTTGAATTTACTCTTGATTATTGTAGAAGAACTATTTGATGTCATAGAATTATGGTAATATAATAGATTTTGGATCAATTTTGCACTTTCAGCTTGCAGCTTAGGGGAATTACTTGATAATGCATGGTAGAGTAAAGTTTGATTTACAGCAAATTTAAGTTGTTAAGTTTGTAATTTGAGTGTTGATGATACTCAATTACTATGAGAATTAGTCATAGTTTTAGTATGTGCTTATTTACTCACATTCTGCATTAGGGTTTCTTCTAATATTTTCAATTACTGATATGAACTCAATGGCTTATAATGAGTAGTGATGCCAAAATTGCCAACATTGCTCAAATGGCTATAAACATGAAATTGAGCACGGGCATTCTTCGCAGATGATTTTGTAATTAGTATCATTGGGGCAGTAATGTAGCTAAGGTCAACATGTTTTAGCTGAAGTGTTGAACTACCTGAAAGTTTGCTAGGATAGTTGAACAATATAACTGCTTGAATATTTTTAATCTTTATTGTTTAGACTTGTATGATCTTATTATACTCGACGTGTTAGTTGATTTTCATGACTTACTTGATTAATCTGCTGAGTGACATAAGTTCTCTCTTGATTGACAGCTATGGAGGACATTTTTGCTGACACCATTTAAGCTCATTACCGTCTTTCTGCATGAAGTCAGTCATGCTATAGCATGTTTTACTTGTGGTTCGGTAAGTTATTTCTTGCTTTCTTTTTGCAACTTTATTCACAAGTTTTGTTTAGCTATAGAGAATAGACAGGATAACCGTGACACTTGGCTAAGCCCCTACACCTCCTCCAATGCCTGTCCCCCCCTTCTGGTATGTAGAAAGGTGAATTGACTGAAGACCATTTTTTCGAAATTTACAAATTATTTCTCAGATTAGTTAATTAATTTTGCATTGCAAAGAGCAAATCGTAGAAAGTAATGTCTGGAGCCATTTCTTATGAATTAGACAATCAGTTCATTAGGTCAAGTTCATGAAATGGATCAGGAGTGTCCTTAAAACAATCAGAATATAGGGTGCAAAAATTGTAAATGTTGCAAACCATCTTTTTAGGAGGCACATCTCTTCCCCCCCCCCCCCCCCCCCCTCTCCTCCTCCTCTCTATTCCTGAGGCATTAAAATTTTCATGAAATGAAAACGAGCCAAGTTCCATACACTTGAATACGTCAATATCAAGTCCGATTTGTTTCAACTCTAGAGAACAAGCCAGCCCAACATTTAACTGTATATATTGTTATAATGAACATAAAACAAGCTTAAACTGAAGTCTCCATGGCTCTAGCTTACCTACACAGATCTTAGAGAACTTCCTAGGCTCCTAGCACGAGTAGATAGTGTGAAGTTAAGATATGAGATTCAGCAACATTCAACAAACAGAACTCCTAAGGCAATATTGTATTACAGTGTTTGAAATTATATTACAGACTGAACAGTATGCACTTTTAAGAAAAAATGTTAATTAACCTGTTTATGGTTGCGTTTTTCGTAAAAGCGGCCTTGGGAAGGTGGAGAGGATATTGAGTGGAATGTACAAGTCAAACACATCAGAGCATTGCAAATAGAAATTGATACATTTGCTTATGAATAACTTTGTTCAAATACTTAGGTTGATCATAGCATAATGACAAGTAGGTCTCCAAGTTCTTAGTGAAGTAGGACGTCAGTCAACCATCTTCTAGATCAAGATTCTTGTTGGGAACAGTAGAGCCATAAGGGTAAAGCTACAACCTACAAGCTACAGAGTAAAATTTTTAGTTATACAGGTAAAGATATCTGTCTCCTAGGAATTGGGTGGCATTCGATTAGGGGCTAATGGTATGGCGTGTTACCTTGTTTATGTGTCTATTCATCTGCAGTTCATTTGCACCAACTGTAATCTATGCAGTTCAACAATTGCTGCCGTATTTTGGACCATGACATTTTAAAATTTTCATAATAATTCACCTGTGTCTTTGTGCTTAAGCAGCTTAATGCTTAGATTTTAGCTTCCATCCCACGTAATTAATAGACAGTATTCTGACTGAATTTTGACCCAGGTTTAATAAGATTATGCTGAACTATACATTGGAATTTGTTTTAAATTTTCTACTACGTATTACAATTCCATGTTACTCAGAAATTATAAACTCAAGAGAAATTATCGATCAAAGGTACTTCAGGTCAATTCCTGATTAATGATTATGATTGCTTGTTCTATGCTAATCTCTAGGTGGAGGGAATTGAGGTTCATGCAAATGAGGGAGGTTTGACACGAACGCGTGGCGGTGCATATTGGCTGATCTTACCTGCTGGATGTAATTTCCTGTCTAATGTTTCTATTTAATGCCATGTATTTTACTTTTCCTGCTCCTTGATCAATCAAGCCTATCTGAGGATTCTTGCTTTCATGTTATGCTTCACGTTCACCTTTTACTTCTTGATCTGCTTATTTAGAGCTTCATCTTATCATATCATTTGGGCACTCACACATCCAATGCATCTTACACATTTAGATCTCGGCTCTTCATTCTGGGGAATGCTTTTGGTGCTTGCCTCCACAAATCTTCTTACAGCAAGAATCGCTGCTGGCTGTCTTGGTGTAGCTCTGATCGTTGTGCTATTCATTGCAAAGAATGTAAGGGATTTATGATTGATTTTACATCATGGTACCATCATTTAGCTCCAATTTTGTCTTAGATAGATCTGACTTTTTAAAAATTTGCTTGGTAACAAACAGTGGACACTTCGAGGACTTTGTATTGGTGAGTCTTTGTACTAAATCTAATCCTCAGTTTTCCTTTCTAATTATTTGTTGTGTTAATTTACTTAACACTTGATGATGACAATACAGGATTTATTGTTTTTCTTGCTGTAATTTGGATCTTGCAAGAAAAAACGGATATACATATCCTCCGGTATGTCATCCTTTTTATTGGTATGTGCTTACAATCCTTCTTTTCCATTTGATAATACGTACGTGTTAGCACTATCTTTAATTCCATAAAATCTCAACAAGAGATTTTGCATGAGTCACTAAAAGCATGTTTCGTTTTTGCAGGGGTGATGAACAGTTTATTCTCAGTTTATGGTAAATTCGTTTATCCTTATCCAGAAATCTCTGCTTGCATGATTTTCAGTTAAAGTTCTGAATTTTATGCTATGATGTAGATATCTATGATGATCTAATATCTCGAAGAGTAAACTCTAGTGATGCTGAGAAGTTTGCTGAGGTTTGCCCTTGCCCATGCAATGGGTTTGCATGGGGGTTTATTTGGTGAGTTTTTGGGAAGAAATAAATGCAATCACACCTATTTGTTTTTGAATTTGACAATAATTTTTTTTCATCTTGAAATTTTTTCTTGCAGGGGAATTATATCCTTTGCATGTCTCTGTGGAGCCATGTATTTGGGCCTTGTCATCCTGTCATGACCATGAGTACAACAATGCTTCTCTGAACATACTTTCCAAGGTGCATTTCATTGCCTGAACGATTGTTAAAAGCGGCTCCTTTTCTAATCAGTAATGAATGGTGGGAATGGTAGTACATTTGTGTGTAGTAACTACTAAGTTAGGAAATTTCTATAGTGTCTATGGTTATGCAACCCTATTCCCATGTAGGCGTTTTGTGCCACTTTAAAAGCGGCATTGAGCATTAATGAATTATTTAAGCATAAAAACATACTTGGGGATGGATCTGCATTACTATAGAATTGTAATTTTTTTTACTTTCTTTGCAAAATTACACAGAAATGCATTGCAAATTTGCAATTGGCCAATTGCCATCAGTTATTACCGCAACTCAACAGACAGAAAACATGTTCTTCCTCGTGATTTATTGACAGTAGCCATGACCCTTGTTTTCGCAGGATTTTGCATATTACGCTCCGGGATTGAATTTCTAGTTTCAGCTGACGTCGTGGATGAATAGAATTTCTTCATTCTTTCGCCGTAATTTTTGCTATCTACATACCAAGGGTGGCTTGTACATTTAGACAGAATGAACCTATTGTTGTAGACAATCTAGACATACTACTGACCATGGAAAACAATTTATTGGAGTTATTTTTTCTTCTAAATAGCACTTTGTATATTTGAGATGTTTCTGATTGCAACGGTGTTGCCAAATGACTATAGAACTTTTAATGATTACTGCTGACATTACTGCAGTTTGAAACACATTTTATCACAGCAACAGCATCATGCTGCTACTAACTGAAGCGAAGGTTGTGTCAATGCGCTATGGGGATGGATTTCAGAGTATATCGACTCCACTCCCTCACGCACTTATACATAACAAGATATTATTAGGTTATTTAGAACAATACACGCACACAACCCCGGTCTGTCCAATTACCCACCCTACACGGCAAACACCTATGCAAAAAGGCTGTATAACAATCGGGAGCACGGATGACAGGATGAAATCAACCTTATATTCATATTTTTTACAACTTTGGGGTATTATTTGTGAGATATAAAATATTCAAAGTTGCAAAAAATATGAAACGGAGGTAGTATATAGTTATACGGTACCATGCAAATATTCTAGAGTGCAAACTAAGTAACTTCAGAAATAAATGTTCAAGTTATAATTTGTCAAGAATTTTTAATTGTCTTAATATAAAGTTTTCCTCTTATGGGATTATTAAAAAATGAACTTATATTGTAGTGTATGAATGTAAGATTCAATGAAGTGTCAAAAAAATATTACAAAAAAAAGGGAGACAAATTCGCACGATATGATGCACGTTTAGAGAGTTTCATTCTTCAGCTGGTTTTTTCTTCCTGGTATTCTCCATTTGAATTTTGACTTGGAATATTTCTTGATTCTAAATATACATATTCCAAATTATATACTCAAATGTAATTAAGATGGTAAAATTGATAAGAATATGGACCTTTTTTTTACTGTGAAGACCAAACAAGTCGTGTCGGGTTACAAAATAAAGCCTTTTAGAAATTTGTGTAAGGCTCAATAATTTTACAGAACAAAGCTATATATCTAAGTCATCATCAGGATCCTCATCAGAGTCTGGTCTTTCATCATCTGAATCACGGAGATAGACTATCTCACCTCTGGAAGATTTTTCAGTAACTCCTGTTTTCTCAGCTTCAGTTGCCATCCCATTTTGCGACTCCATGAGAGATCGCCGGCCATCATAAATTTGGTTTGCTTTATCTGCTTCTGAAGAAGTAACAACAAAAGACATCATCAAATGTCACAGATACCATAATGACTGTCTTTGGTGTTTTAATATAAAGAAGCTCAGATATAACCAAAACAGCCTTTTGCATTCAGATGCATCAGTACCTTGGTGTTCAAAAGGAAGAATTACTTTTGAGCGATCAATTTGCTCTTTCTCTGACAGATCTAGATTAAATTGCACCTGCAGAGATTAAAATTGAAATTAGGAATATGAAAATAGGCACAAGTTATGTTCAAGTGTTCAACCAATAAGTTCATTTAGTCCAGGTAAATTAGATGACAGGGTTTTTTTTTTTACAGTCTTTTGCCATGGGAATTGTGGAGTACAAGAAGAAAAATAATGCTATTGTGTATGCGCAGATTACTAACCTTTGGTACTAGTGTCTGTGCCATTGACTCCTCTTCGGAAGAAATTGACTTGAAAGTAATTCCTGATTGATCAACATGAAATTCTTCAGACTGAACAAAGTTAAATGTATCAGCAAAGGAGATCTGGACCACTGAATCCAGTAACTATAACGAAGTAGGCAAGTAGCATTTATCATAAAAAAAGAATACCATCTTTCTCAAAATAAATAAATAAAAAAAGAAGAGAATACCATCAATCTAACTCTTCCATTTCTGCGCTTGAGGCGCACCCTTAACTTTGCTCTCCTAAGATTCTGTTCAAGCAGGCCTTGTTGTCCATTTTTAAGTTGAGTCGAGCCTTCCACACTAGCCACGATAGAAGACGTATACTCAAGAGCAGCAATTGTACTTGCGTGATGAATATCTGAATGCAACAGCCAAAAGGTACTGGAAACTTGTCCTGAATCATCACAGATGCAATAAGAGGTCATATAGCATACTCCACAGAAGATCATGATGAACATGATCCATGAACAAATTAGTTTTTGCAATGAGATCATTGGTATAACCAACTTAAAAGACTATCACTCTTCAAAATGGCAGGAAACATTCTAACAGTAGGAAATTTGGACTATAAGCTGTAAACTAGAGCAGCTAACTGTGTGCTTCAATGTTCTGCTTGATTCCACATAATAGAACATGAATGAGAGGTCAAAGGGAAAAATGCCATATCCCATTAGAACAGTAGAGCTGAGATTCATGGACAAAACTTTGCAACAAACAAACTGTACAAATAGATTATGGAGAAAAAATTTCCGTGGCCATAACAGTAATAGAAAATCAAAGCATGATGGTATACACAGAGAAACAAATTCCGTGGCCATAAGAATAATGGAAAATCAAAGCATAATGGCAACACAAGAATGTGCAAAAATCTTTGATAAACCTAGTTGTTAGCTTGTATTAGACCTAACTAATAACCCTAGGGCCCAACAAATAAAATAATGTTTCCAATCAAAACTGTAAAACAATAGTGTTGGACTGATTTATTCTGTAAAAGAAGTCCTCTTCCAATATCGTAAATATGTTGTACTTTCTTCTTTCTTTTTGCAGAGAAAATCATATCACAAAGCAGGCAGACCGTCTACTACACCAAAATAACATCTTGGTAGAGTATAAGCAATGTGCAAAGTCAAGCTACTCTTTTAGGGGGGTGTTCATAGTTACATTATGCTTTTTAAGCAAGGATTGAAGGATGAGATATAAGGATTTCAGGACTACATAAGAAACCCCAATCTTTTGAGGGTTTGAACAAGTGTAGAATCAACACAAATATCCAAACTAGTAAAATTTGGGGTGGGAGTACTTATGTTCATAGACCCCATAGTTCTAAATGGAATCCATGTCAGATAAAAAGTTGCTGAACATATTGCCCAATTAGCCAAAGCAGGCAGACCAGACAAGTGATAATATAATGATGAACTGTTGCACACCTAGGCAAAGCCTTCTGTTATCAAAACAATAGGCATACATGTCTTAGGCCAGCTGCAACAAGGAAAAGGCAAAATGTAATTGATACCCTCTCATTTTAAGAAGGGAATCATTGCATAACGTATTCTATACACTGATTAACATATACAATAAGTTGCACACATTTAGTTTAACATCTTATGCATCATAAAGAAGCAAAATATTCAATCTAGATGGAGAAACATACCATGACAGCGAATATTACTAAGAAGACTCGCAACAGATGACAATGGGACATCTCTTAGTAACTCAGTTGCCTGGGAAAATATTAAAATACCTGTTAGAAAGAAGACAATATATAGAAACTATTTACATACACAGATTATAATATGATACATTATAAAAGACTGATGCATCAGGCATTTTAATATGGAAATCTGTGACGTGAATATTCCAAAAAAAAAAAAAAAAAAAAAAGGCAGGACGAAATAGAAAACAAATATTCACATAATATGCTATATGAGTGATGAATGGGAGGCTGTTTGCGTAGAGCACATCAAATATTTTGGAGCCTTTAGGAAGTTATATCACTTTGACCAATTGCGTGTCATATTACTCAAGCTTAAATTGACACTGAAACCATACAATCAGGTTGAACAACCACAACTCTAGCTTATTGCTTATACTTCAATATCTGAAGTTTCAATAGATATGAATACAAATCAAGAGAATATATTATGCCACGTACTGCCAAAAATGTTTTCACATCACAGGCACAATAAATTATCAAGAAACATAGTATACTTCATGTGTTTGTATGAACGGTGAACATTTCAATTCAGTGCTTGCCAAAACAATTTATAGCTAGTAGCAACTTATATTCTTAAATCTAAAAGGCAAAAAACAAAAAAAATCGTATAGTATCTAGTTTTTTTAGGGAGAGGAGAGCAGAAACAAAATATTACCGAGTCTATTGCTATGCAATATTGATCCTTTCCTTGTCCAACAATTCCTGTGGCACAAACATGTAGAATGTTACAGAACAGTCTTTCATTTATCTACCACTGGCTAAAGCTAGCAAATATTCACATTAATATCACTTGCCTGAATGGTACATAACCATAAAAAATAATCAACTCTCTTTCCATACCACAAAGACGCCAATTTGTCAGCTAAAACTTTTGATTCTCTCTCTCTCTCTCTCTCTCTCTCACACACACACACACACACACACATGAGATTTCACAGTTGATTGCAACAGTTAGATAAAAACATCATAGGATTTTATAAGTTTAACCAAAATTCTGAACTGCCAATAATAATGCTCTTTCTCCATATAAGTTTGGACAAAAATAAGTTGAGTTCCTCATTAAGAAAACCTCACTAAAAATAGTTTGAAGTAAGAAAAAGTTCGGCAGCACAAAAAGTTAAGTTGAGCTATAGTAAGTTAAGCAAAACAAAGTTTTTTTTTTCAGCAAAAATAACTTGGGTAGAACAAAGCCTAAGGCATATCTCTAGCCACTTGTTTATGCACAATCGTCAACTATACTTATCGATCTCAGCTTTATTAATATGAGAAATAAGAGCACAATGCGAAGCTATACCTTTTCCCAACTCAAGAATCCCAGAAAGCAATTTCTCCAAATTTCTTACATCCCTGAAAACTGTCACCCCAAACGAAGAATCTGGAGAACTGCCAATCCGCCCACTTTCCTTAAGCCTATGCTTCCAACCAAGTGGATCATTATAACAATCTAGTATCCGAACCCTACACAAGAATTTCCCAAAGTCAGAATATTGCACATCATAACCAAGAGTAGACCTTGGCTAGGTAAGGTACATTTTCTTGACTGATTATGTAAAACCATGAAAAAAAGATAATAAACTAAGGAAAACTGGAAATTCAAAAAACTACACATCCAAAGTAGGTGAATACATTGTAAAATATTCCCAGGTTGGAAATAGTTATCACATGTCACAACTCCTCAATCACTCGTAAGGATAGGGCATGATATACAAGAAGAGCCTTCTATAATGATCGAACCACTCTCA